TTGCAGCATGGAGTACACCTTTCTTCTCTCATTCACAGTTTCATCAGGTGAGGAAGCAGGCAGATCTGAATCTCCTCCCCAAGGGTCTGTGAAACCCAAGATGAGATCTCTTCCATGATGTACATGGAAAACAGGTCATGGACAGGTCCATGCTGAGGTGAGAGAATCTGCACTCACTTGGTCTGTGACATTGCTTTATGCAAGACTACAGTGAAAAGAAGCATTTTAGGTGATGAGCTTCTTTCTGCATTCAGTTTCCTTCCCTCTTCAAATGTCTTCTTGCTTGTGTAAGATGGTGTGGAAGAAGAATCAAAACCTTGACTATCTGTAATTTGGTTAACTACCCTCCAAACAACTTGTTTCACTTGATTTCTACTTCTCCTTGATCTTCTGACATTGCCTTGACATAATTTTCTATTTAAAGCCTTCTTGGAGGATATGCTGCCTCTTTGTGAAGTGTCACTTTTCCCCAACACTACAATATGTCTCCTGCTCACTAACTGCCTAACTTTGCTTCCTTTCAGTGTTTCCTAGGACGTCAAATGAGAGCTTGAGGTACTCAAAAACCTAGTGTTGCAATGAAAAAGAACTTATTAAAGTTTATAATTACAGAAAAATTAATCAAAGAGACTTAGCATGGTACTTGCATAAAGACAATAAGCCAAGATCTTGTCACAGTGAAATATGGAATAACTCCATTGAAATAAATCTTAATTAGGCTAGAGTCACTATTCAGTGTGACTTCATTAAGAGTAGAGCAGGGATAGTCTTTTGGGAAAAAAGAACACTGATTAAACAACTACTTTACTTCATATTTCTTCCTTCCCCCCTGCTCCTTTTCCTTCACACTGGAGAAAATTTTAAAACCACAGTTGTTCAAGTGAACTCTAATAGAGATTAACATGTGGCAAGTTACATCCTAAACAGGAATTGTTTGAAACAAAACGCTGAGAATTCTAACCATGAAGATAATCTCTTTAAATTATACGTGCAAGGTGCATGCATCCATACCTATCTTGGCCGTAAAAAGTATGTTGTTTTGTTAGGCAACAAATTTAAGATACATCGAGTACTGGACTATAGAGATGAAGACTTAACTCTAATAAAAAAGACAGAGGAATAGATTAATTAAGGTTAAAATAGCCCACATGGGAAAGTGTAAAGAAAATATTACAGAAAGAAAATATACCTTCACTGCAGCCTCCTGAATGCACCATGCAACTATGGCTACAGACTATAGACAGATATATTGTTCAACAAGCATATCAACAATGTAAGAGGTTCATTTGTCATGATTTCACTTCTTACCAGATAGAAAGCATGCAAAGCCAGATATATCATGGCAATAAATCTGTTGACTTCAGCAGAGTTATCTCAAAAATGAATTCAAACTGATATACTTTGAGGGAATGAAACCAAACCGAATAGGAAATGTACACAGTTTCTTGGCAGCTTATGTAGACCATATACAAAATCAGACATTAAAGGAATATGTACAATATCCCAGGGGGCTTATGGTAACTGGGAAAAAAGTTTATAATGAAGATCCAATATGCAGCATGTATCAGAGCGTCAAATTGATTTGCATGGGTTATGTCCTTTCTTCACAGTTACTTATGTAGCTCCAGTTGAGCTGAACATGTGCTGTGGAAAAGGGTAGAATTTATTGAAGAGGACTGAAAACAAAATAAGCAAGAAAAGGAGAAGGAATCAAAAAATATGGGCTCTCCATTCCCAAATGATTCCAGTGTGAACTGAATTATAGAAGAAAATAATCTTTTTTTTTCAGCTTGAGATGAAACTGTTCCTTGTTCTACAGAGACTGACCTATCTGCAGAAGTAACAGCTGCAACAGCCTTTCTTGGTGGATCTGGAAAACGGTTGATAAAGAAAGTAATAAAATAATATCCATGGAAGAAGTGGTTTGTTTTCTGCTCCACTACCATTTTGACATAGAAATTAAAAACTTCTAGTCCCAGAGTGTAATCTATATATTTTGCGTCTTGTATATACAAGTGCTACTGTGCCTGCATGATATTGAGAGAGAAGCTGGTTTGATCTATCATCAAACTTTAGCTCATTTGTCTGAGTCCATCTTCAATATTGACATCTTCTGATTTCTTACCTCTCTATTCTCTGTTAGGAGAATTCCAGTGGCAATTTTTAAATGATCTGTTCTGCATAAAAGCCTCATAGGCCAAATATAATATTTGGGATGAGTTATTCCTGGGATCTACCCCTGAAATATGTGCTTGGGAGGCAAGATTCTAAGGTTTTTTTATTTTTATCTTTCACTTGATATTTGGTCATTCGAAATACTGTTAAACTCACCAAATCTGGATGAGTTTGTATTGCCAAGGTCTGTGTGTGTACTAATCTTGCTGAGCTTTCTTTATCACCAATGGACTGAAATACGCATTTTTTAAGGTGTGATCCATTTACTCCTAATGCAAAACTGTAAAATGGCTCAGAAGTGTTTGTCCCTTTCCTGTGGCCGTAAAGGAAGCTCAGGTATAAATATCTGCATTGTCAGTGTCCAAAGTTAGATGAGATGAATCCTGGCTTGGATGACTTTTGAAAACTCTACTTTCTGCAATACGATGCATGACAGAGATCCCTGGGATACATGTGGGCAATAAAAGACCAACTTCCCCTGAGACACCTCCAGAAGTGATACCCCAGGATCACAGTTTTGTTGCAACTGTCCAGGTTTTGTATGGGCAGCGGAGGAAATGTAAGAAGGTACGGAAAGCTTGACATTCATAACCAACTGTTCTAAAAAGGATGGGTATTGCACAATGTCTCCAGGATGCAAATCAAGGTCAGTAAAGAATTCTGGACTAGAGATGCATCTGAGCCATAACCCAACATTAAAATATCCCCTACTCCTAAACCTTACTCAACTATTTAGATCTCAGTTTTGCAGCTGCGTCTTGAATATCTTGGGTCAAATCAGTAACCTTGATCTAGCTACACCAGAAGTTAGAGCTGGATTCAAACCTTGGAAGCTTTGCCTATCTAAAAAGTTTATCTTTCTCTAAAACCTGTTGCATGCAAAAAGTTCCTTGAACAATCAAGAGCTTTGACCACTCCTAAAACACAGAGGTCATTTTTGGCAAATGGTAATGGCAAAGTACAGAAAGTATAGACAAGAGGCAAAACTGCTTTCCTTGGAAATAGAAACAGCTAATGAACATTAGAACTGACATTCAAATGGCTTTTTGTGCTGCAGGTGAATTTTCTCTGGCTTTCCCTAACCATGAAACAGTAGATAGAGGTGAGACATGTCAGATAAAGAATCAACTTGTTGCAGAGAGGTTTTTTAGTAAAACATATTTACACACCCTCATCAGCAAATTCTGCAGCTTTGAGACTGAGTTAACCAGCCACAAAGAGACACGTATACACATTTTGGAAGGCAAAGAGCTTCCAGACGTCTTTTAAAGGTACACACAAGTAATACAAAGCAGACATAAACACTCCATATAGTGATATCTTTACATAGTGTCCTCATGGATATTATATATTCAGGAAGACATTGCTCACGTAGGGGATGCTATACCATATTCCAGAGAGTAGAAAGCAAGCCCTTTTAAAATACTGAAAGGGGAGATGGACATGGCAAGACCCAGTGTAAAACTGGGCCAAGAACAAACTGAAATGGCTAGATCTTCTTTCATCCCTTCTCTTGGGCTGCTAAGCTGTGAAGTTCACAAAGCAGAGAAAGTAATTGATAATTCTTTACAGTACGATTCCTAGTGTCACGTAGTGACTGTGGATTTCCTGCACTCTCCTGTGAAATTTCAACTGCCATAACAAAGCTTTATGTTGCAGACAATCAACACTCAAATACTTAGGAATAATAATAAAAATAAAGACATTTTGCCCTCCCCTTCCCACAGGGCATCTATCTGTCTTTACAACCAGGGGTTGATTCATCCACATGCAAACCTTAACAAGGTCTTTTTTTGTGTGTGTGGCAAGTATTTGACTGACATTTTGCTTAAAGAAGGGGAAAATCCCACTTCCTGCGGCATATTGCAGGAACCAGCAAACATATCCCTTCGTCTGTTGGACCAAATATAGAATAATAATACTGTGCAGGTGCTCCAGAGCTGACTCAGCTGTAACATGATCGCATAATGCCTGTGATATGCAATCCATCATTACGTTTAAAGTGTCTGCTTGATTAATATTCGGTATTTAATGTCAACACTGGGAAATTAGAATTCAGAAGTGTTACACTGCAGGAATTGCAAATGCTGCTGCAGTGGTAATGGCCTGGCTTAGTTTCGTGAGATCTGTTAGTTCAAGGGGAATTTCACAGTTCAGAAAGACCAAAATGTATGCATCGTATTAACTGCTAGCTGTGACCTCTTGGGATAAAGCCAATGTGTCACATTTAAAGAAATTAAATGATAAATTTCCAAATGGCTATGATTATTTCTTCTCCTGTATAAACAGTACCTCTATCTCTTAGCAGTATAGCTGTGCTATCCATATTCACAATAACACTCTAATTCTGGTGTTACTGATATACATGGTATACTAGAATTGGGAAGTACTTTGGCTTAGATTGTTTTAAACTTCTACATCCCAAGTGCATAGGTTTCATCTTAACCAACTTGTTCAGGAAAATAAAAAAAAAAAAGGCATGTGTTTTTTTAATCTCTCTTGATCTTGTTCCCTTTTCTACATACGACAGATCAAGCAATTCCCGTTAGAGCTGTAGTTTGAGATTCAGGAACGCTGAATGGCCAACAGACGCTTCCCTGGTGGAGAATGAGGACGCAAAGGAAACATCTGAGATTGTTTTTACTTTCATTATTTTTGTTAAAAACAGTTTGCACCTTGGTGTGTCATGAATACCCCTTCTTGATCTTCCTTTGCCATGTCAGACCTGGCCAGCACAAGCAGCTGAGATCTTTGCTCTATTTTCCCTGCATCTCTGTGCAACGCTTTTCTAAAAAGAGAATATACTACTATTTTTTCTAAGCCTTTCAGACTGCTGTAACATGATCAGGATTCTCCTGAATCTCTATGCATTCGATCTCTTCTCTTTCCTTCCTTTTGGCCCGTTTCTTTTTCTTGTGGTGCTTTTTGGAAGGTGGGAAAAAGGTTAGAAAGACGGGCAAAATAACAAAACAGTGCAGAAGTGTGCAACTGCCGGCAAGCAGCAAGCATTTGAACAGTGTGAAGGTCAAGTTTGAAGGCACAAAGAGAAGGGGGACCAACCCAATAAGAAAAGAAGAAACATTCTGCAAAATGGCTGTCCCATGCTCTTGGAGGGAGTTCTTTATACACTGAGTTCGGGTGTGCTCAGTAGCTAGTACAAATGTATAAAGCAGGGGTGCACAGTGATCTATGGCAAAATTCAAAGTGTAGATAAGGCACAGTATAGAAATGCAATCCATGTCTACATTCCATAAGGTCATCAAGCCAAGGACACCCAGCTCTATTGAGGTGACACTGAGAATTAACCAGAAGTTTCCCAGAGGATGAATAACCAGGAAAAAGGTCAGTATTAACACCAGAAGGATGCCAAAACCAGAAATCAGGACAGGCATAGTTACTGATAAACCATAGTGATCCATGAAAACAAAGGTAGGATTGAACACAATGAATTTGATGCTTTGTATAAGAGAGAGTGGACGCAGCTTCTCCAACAATTCTACCGCTTCCCTCTGCGTGTTTTCACTAGTCCTGGCCACCAGGTACAAACGAGAAGCAATTATGTTGTTCTCATCTCCAGCTTTGGAGAAAATGATGTCATTTTTGAAGTGCTGGAATTCTGGCTTTTTTAAAAAGGAGCTCTGCAGGATGCTGATAAAGTCACTTTTGTTGGTTGCACTGATGTTACCCACTCGAAGGTACTGGTAATACTGTTCAATCCAGGACACTGTATTGAACCCCTGACTTAGTGTTTTTAGGTCTTCTTGCACAGTGCCATTCCAGTACTCCAAAGGTTCATAAATGTAGAAACCTATCACTGGGCTGTAGTTGCTGAAATACTTTTGCTGTATGAGGGCATAGGAGACGCTTGGAGACTCACTGGCGAGAAGGTTGATAATGTTGGCTCCATCATTAATCTGTAAGCACCCCATAAAGGAGAAAGAGGCATAAATGAGATACAGTATGACCACAAATGGCTTAACATAGATGTTGGTAATCCACTCATTGTAATGCTCTCGGAGGAAATGCTGGATAAAGTGATGCTGGTATGGGTTGGTCTCATGATGAGAAGTATGCTGATGGCCATCATTCATCATGGTCTGGAACCACACAGGTTTCCGGTCCAGGTATTCTGCTGAAGGAATTTTACAGCAGAAGATGCTGTGGTAACGGTTCTGCTCCAACTGGCCAGCAAAGACCAGGCACGAGCCAAAGAAGGAGAAGATATAGAAGTAGTTCAACAGGATGGAGACACACATATTCTGGCAAAAGACTTTTACAGCTTCAATGTTGGTGAAAGGGCTTGCACCCATGCCGAAGGCTATGAAATACAAGGAGCTTGTCATTGTGTAGGAGACCATGACATCTGAGTAGGCATCTGCTACTCTGTCCTTGAATGGCAGATTCTCTCTGGTTCGACGCCATCCTGAAAGAAGTTCGAACACCCCTTTGGTTCCATGACCTGAAATGAGAAAACAAAGTATATACGTGTCCATATGTAAAGGCAGTTCCATCATCCTCCAGATTTTCTGGCTTCTAGTAGGCAAAATTTTTTGCCAGCTGAGCAAGGTTTTGTCACCATTTAAACAAATGGTAACTTGTGAAGTGTCTGTCTAAAGCTAGATAATGGAATTCACACACAGGTGTTTAAACTAACAGCCTGATATTCTGAGACTCCATGCTCAGAAGAGAAATTATGAAATACCCTTAAAAAAAACCTCATTAATTTTAATGAACATTGCATTAGTTCCCAAATGGACTGCCTGTGTAGGACAAAGCAGAACACTAAGTTTAATTCAAGTCTAGGGTTCATTCTCGAAGTTCTTTGTAGTACCCTAATAAATCTTTCAAAGTTTAAGGCATTCAGTTTAAAACTATCATTAATGCAGGTAACAATATTTTTCTTCCAGAGCGCATAAATTAAAGGCATTGTTTGAGAAAAGAGGAGGTGTAACCAAGAAAGGCACACCTTGGTTCCTCATGATGGACAAAGAAAAAAAGTATACTGCCATGAAGTACAAATAAACAGAATAATTTGTATGATAGTTCTCCACTGAGTGACACTGGAACTTCTCAGTGACAGTATATAAGTTTCCACACTATACCAAAGTTGACATGTTGGTGTTAACGAAGGAGAGTACAGTGTTGGCTAAATCATTGATCCACATCAATTGCCTAGAAAAAGTAGTCTCTCTTGCTTTCTCTCAGCTATCTAGAGCTCATCCTGGGGAGAAGAATTTCTCTTAGCTCACATGAGATTCAGAAAAAAGCCCAACATGAACAGTGCTTCCTGACAGATTTTTACCTGTATTCTGTCCTGAGCAGTGTTCTAGGGGTATGATTTTTTAATAAATTAAAGCTTAATACAGACTTACTTTAATTTTACTCATCACGGTCACAGTCTGGAAAGTCTACAGCTACTAAACTATGCGACAGAATGGCGAAGCTGAAGCTAATCTTACTGGAAAGGATTTAACTAGTAAAGGTTATTAATTATGTATACATAATTATATCATTTATATGTAAAACAAATATACATATACACACACCCATATTCATTTATTTCACATTAAAAAATTAGAAAAATTCAATTTTGGGGAAAATACAAAAACTCATGTTAAAAAACAGCCAAAAGGGCTTAGCTTTGAAAAAAAAATTTTGGTCAAAAATTAAAAACACATATTTGTGTTTGAATGACAAAACCTGCACTTTGGATCAAGCCCTGATGAAATTGTGGACAGTGTAAGGAAACACACTGCTGAGCAGAGAAAGAAGTAGAAGCAGACTGCAGATGCTCCTGCCTCTGTTTGTGTGCCTTCACTCTCTCCAGTAGAAGAATTGCAGGCAACAAAGCATGCACAAAGGTAATTTTCTTGTAACAAAACCAGAAATATGACAACAGGAGATCTGCAAATAATGAAGTGTGTAATAGTGAACAAAAAGTCTGTTGAGTTTGTCTTTTGATTTAAATTGCTAGGATTCATACAGCTGCTTATGTCGCCCAAAGCAGACTCCCGGCAGCCATTCGAGGCAGGAAAAGTACAGCACAAACTGTCAAGTTCTGCGAATGTTACCTGTTTTACTGCAAATCGGTGTCCCCAGTGAAAGATAAACATACCGTATTACAGAATTCCTGCAGTTAGCAAAAAGACCTGCGTGGAAATGTTGCTCTCTTGTGAATCAGCCCCTTGGTTCGGGAGGGACATTGAATCCCCAGGAAAGTTTAGGGTGAGTCTGTTCAAACTCTTAAGGCACAGCTGTCTTGCACACTGTCACTTTTGAACCACCAAGCAGAAAGAATTGACTCCTTGGGCTGAGCAAAGCTGCAGAATCCAGTGTCTTCAATGCAATTTTATACTTTGCTTAAATGAAGTGTGTAATTATCATGCAGAGTGTGGACCAGGCTGGCTGGTCATCACTCGCAGTGCCCATGTCCTGGCATGGTTCAATTTAATACTGTAGGAGCTGTGTTTCTTTCTCTTTTGGGGACATTAGAGCACAATGGTCTTCCTCAGATGTCTGTGCTCACTCCTTCCCCGTCTACCAATTGAATTTGGATGGTTCTTTTCTGACAAAGGTCCCTCTAATGTGTGATTTTACCACTTAAAACTTGTTCATATGCCATAAAGCCAGAACAGCTCTTTTTCAGAATCAGCTGCTGACCTCATTCTCACCCCTCCTCTTCCAGGTTTAGGCATCCCTCTTTGTTCCCTCTCTCTCTTCTTGTTTCTCTCTCTTATGTTTTCTTCTCTTATGCGGAAGGTTGAGGGGATGAGTAGTAGCACAGGATTTCTTCTCCTATTGCAGGTGTCATTCCTCCCATCTCCCCATCCCATGAAGGCTCTTCCACTGAGGGCAGAGTGATCACACTGAGCAGAGATGCTGTTTTCTGCCTCAGTTTCCTCTCTTCCCCTCACTCTCCCAGGTACCCTGCTGTGATCGAGGTCAAAGGGAATCCTTGGTCTTCAGACCTCACATCGGGAACACTCATTTAGGGTCTAGTTGACACTTTGAGAATATCTTTCCTCTAACTTCTCTCTTCTGCCTTTAACAACAAGACCATAACCGCGTTGTGTTGAACCAAGGATTGCACTACCTCTGTCTGGTTAACCCAACAAAGTGCAGGGATAGATTTTCAAGAAAAGGATGTTGGAAACAGAACACTTCTAGAGTAATTCATTTCCATTGTAGCCTCTGAGATTTCTGCATTTGGCAAACAGGCCTGCCAAAACCAGAGGCTGCATTTGCAACATCATGTTTGGAGGCATTGAAGGACCTTTCTTCATCAGTCTAAACCATTTCTAATTGCACTTATACTTTTGGCCATCACAGCTTCCTGCTACCAGGAGCTTTGTAACTTCATTACTTGCTGAGTAAATGAAGGAGTTCCTTTTGTTTGTTTCAAACTCTCAATCAGTGTAACTTTATGGTGAAACTTAGCGAAATATAAACTTGTTGGGTCATGAGCAGTGTCTTTAACAAAACCTGTTCTATGCATGTGTCCTTTGTTCCTGGGATCTCCCAGCTGCCAGCACCCCTCACCCTCTCCTTGACCACACATTGACAGCTAGGTGTGTGCTCCCTTACTGGCTCTCCAAGATGCATGTGCTAATTTGCCATCTGGACTTTACCAACAAAATATAAAATAGCTGAGTTCTGCCTTCCACTCCTTGAGAGAACGTACTAATCTGGGATTATTTTCCTCTTTCTAGGCATCAATTTTCACAGAGCTTGTAGGACTGCAGTAGTCTCCAAGACCTCTATCTCCCATCCAGATGTGACTGAAATGGACCCATTATTTACAGGCAGCCATCACATGTGCAAATGTAAAGGCAAACAATAACTGTGGGATGCTCTTGTTGGGAATCAGAACTAGAAGTGAATGGCAAAATCAAAAATTAAAAGATTTTGAAAATATTTAAACAGTTAATGTGGATCATTGTAATGTTTTTAAATTGGAAATTTATCAAAAGAAATCCTTTTGCAGAAACGGTTTAAGCTGTGATGAACTGGCACTTTTCAAATAATCCTTAGGTGAATGTTTTAGCAGCTCTATGAACAATTTATAGCAATATTAACTTTTCTCAGTTTATTCCAGAATCTCACTTATCTGTCCACCTGCAAGGTTATGTTCACATCTGCATCTTTACCATGTTTTTATTGTTATTAATTCATAAATTTTACTGTGTCTCATTCTCAGTGATGCCTACCTGGGTGCAGTTGATCTAAGGGTAGGTACGTAATGACTAATAGAAATGTTTTTTACTGTGAAACATACATGCGTGCAAAGACTACCCAAGAGTATACACCAATGTGTATGACTAATTTCTGTTAATATTGGAAATTAAAATACTGTAATTAAACTCTAGACTATTTTCCTAATAGAAAAAGTACTACCTTAAGGAAATAAAATATTGATATTTATAGCATCTTTGAGGATGCAAATTGGCAAGCATTTTCTTGTGTTTATTATTACACAAATGTAAAATTTCCACTTATCTCCCTTTTACAGATAGTTTCAACTCTATCGCATGAATACAGGAATTGAGGAATACAATGCAGTAATTCCCTTGCTGCCATAAGAAGAATTTTTTGCCTGACTGGTTTTCCCACATCATTACTCGGATACCAAGTTTTCCAGTCAGCCTCTGTTTTTCTCCCCAGATAGGCAGGTCTATTCTCCTTTCCCAACAAAGATACAAATCCATTTTTTTCTGAACGTTTTCTGACATTTCTGATGATTTAGACACCACAGTCACTCTGTAAAATTCCATTCCTTCAGCTTCATCGCTAGTGTCACTGGCAACATTGACAGTGGAGTTAAGTTCACTGAGCAGTTCTAGGAAGGTTCACAGGGTCTTTGGCTCTGGGTCAAAACTGCCAAGTTTCTCTGGTACTAACCTGACGTGAACGAACTACAGCAATTTTTTATTTGCCAGATGGGCAATGGTCTATGAACACTTAAGAAGAAAGGAGACAACAGAAATTTTTATTCCTTTAGTTGTGAGGTTAGGAGAGCAAATAACAGAGGCTGCAGAGAAGGTGGAAAAACATAATACTTTTTCTGCCTCAAATTCCTAAACAAAAGGTTAATTATGAGAAGATATTTAAAATAAGTTTGAAGAGGATAGAATAGAAATGAGAAGAGTGAAAGAACAGATTAAAGACCACTTGATTTAGTTAAATTTATTCAAGCCAGAAGAGCCTGGAAAAATTAATCAATTAAAAGCTAAGCCAAAGCAATCTCTGAACTGTTGGCAGTCATCTTACGGAGTGAATGTAGATGGGGTGGTCCAAGAAGAATGGCGAGAACAAGCATAGTATCTATGTTCGAAAAGGAGAAAGAAGATGACCTGCAGAACTTAGCATCTATCAGGTCGGTTCCTGTCAAAAGGTAGTAGAATAAGCAATTGCAAACCAATTTACCATCACTGAGGCAGGATAGGAAGGTGATCAGAAAAA